ATAGACAACGTTGGCTTCTTTCGCAGCTGCTCAACGTTGTCTCTCCCGATGGTCCCAACACTCTCTTCTTCTTTTTTTGTCAACATTCAAACGTTGTTTAAAATAAATAAAAATGTTTAACCTTAATCATCTTTCTAGATCTTTAAATGCCTAAAACTTCAACTTAATCAGTCAGCAATCCGTCACGTTAATGATTTTGAAAGGAAGACTTTTGTTTTGTTTCGGTTAGTTTTGTTTGTTTAGTATTTTAATCACAAGATAACTCTAATTTCCCATTAGAGTTGTGTTAATTGTGTTGATTATGATTTGGCGTTCCAATTCTGATATTATTTTTATGTTGTAAATCTTAAACTGTTACGTATTGTTCTATCTTCCTATGTGAGAAAAAAGTAAAATGTTTTAAAATTTTGACATGGATAATAATATAATTGTAAATCTATAATAATTATATTATCATTTTATTTATATTTTTCAAAAAGAAATATATTTATCTTAATTGATTTAATATGATAATGTCAAATATAGTTATAAATCTAAAAGAGTTATGTTATTATTCCATCCTTTTATGAGAAAAAAGCAGATATTCTCTTAAACTTTTAAATTAACGTGGATAATAATAAATAAATGATAATTTTACTAATATGATAATGATTCGGTTTTAATCTTACCAAAAAACAAATAATGATTCTGTTTTAAAAATATATAAATTTTCTTTGTTTAGTTGTAGATATTGTCATATAAAAAATTCTTAGATCCTCCACTGCCTTAATTTTATGTAAATACCTTGCTTGATATTTAATCTTGATTTGATATCATAACTAATCCTTGCTTTTTTTTTTTGGCACTAACCATTGAATTTTTTATACTGCCATTTAATTCTTGCATAAAAAATAATAATTAATAGTAGTGTTTATTATGAATGCAGGTTTGTTTTCCATAAAAACTAGATTGGATTTATGGAAGCACGTCATTGTTTCCAGTGCGAGGAAACAAATGTCGTATCACTGCTGTTGTGGCTCTTTAGTACTTTCGTTTCTGTTTATGGCTTTGCTTCGGTTGTATGGTTAGTCATCAATCATTGATCTTCTCATTGTTTGAATATTGTTGCATAGGAAAAATCTTCCTTTTTTATGAATCTTTTAAAAGTTGGGTCCATGCTATTCTCAGTGATTGATTACGTTTATTGAATATTTGTGTGCTTCCTCTGCTGATATTCTAATTCATGCTTTATTCGTCGTCTTTGATACACTCTGATTAACCATTGTGGACCTCTAGAGTCTAATTTGCGATATTAATGCAAGTCTCTTTAACTTACGGATTATGAAGAGCATCCTAAGATCGTTTAATTTGATTCAGGCTTTATGTGGCTAATGTTTGGTCTTGGATGTGAATTAGTCTATCATGTTTCTTGGAAGGTAGGAAGCAATCTTGATGTTTACCAAAATCCAATGTGCTCTTTTGTAGCTCAGTTTTGAAATATGTACTAATTATTGTAGAGGGAACCCGAAACAAAGAGACCATATGTATGATTTTATATGCGAAGAGAAGCTCCGAATTTGAAATCGTCTCCACTCCGGTGATATGTGGCCATGGTGTGAAGGAGTCTGGAGCCATGGTTATTTCAGATTCAGACATAACCGTAATTGTTAAACTAATAAAAATAAGATCAAACGTACCGGATTGATGAGAATTTTTGGTGTTCTTCGTCATGTTCTTCGTCGTATGGATCTAACAAAACAAAAAAAATATATATACCCCAGAATTTTTTTTTGTTTGTTAATAGAGAGAACCCACCAATTTTGTAGCGTTGATTGTGACATCGAATTGTTTGTCGGATGAATATAAGTCTCTAATCCGGAGACTGAAGTTGAACCCTAACAAAAACATATATTCATAGCATAAAATTCATAAATAAAAGGTAGAGCATCACATAGCTTTTTCTTCAAAGCCAACACATCTCTCTTTGTAGCCGAATTACTCTCCAGTTTGGTATATACTCAAATTTTCCAATGACTTCCTTCTCGAACCTGGAGCGTTTTTGCTTTGCCGGATATTTTTAGGATATGGCTCTTATGTATCTCTTGTGAGTCACTTGATATGTTGTTTAGGTAAAACTTTTGGTTTGAAAGAGAATGATCTACGAAAAGCATAATCGGTTATTTGTTATATATGTGGCCATGTTCATATTGCTTTCTCCACAAGCAATTTTCCAGTTTTGTAGCATTCGATATTTAAATTTAAAAGCTTCAATACGTTGTATACATGTGTATGTATGTACATATATGAATTATTCTCAGTTGCACATAGTGGTTTCTAAGGGATAGATACTTGCTCTCTGTAACCCTCTCATTTTTAGTACCTATCTTCAGTGTTTACTTTGCTAAGAGCTTCTTGATAGGCATACATCTTTGCAATCTCAGATCAATATACTACAAATACATATACGATACAGTTAAGAAAATGATATTTCTCTTACAACTTTTTATATGGGTTTTATAAACAAGAGATCAACTGAAGGGTTACGCAGCGACCAATGGCAAAGGTAGAGACAAAGATACTACAATAGGGACGATAAATATGACACGATATATACAAAGGAGATGCCTGTTTCTATACCATTGAAATTTTACGTCCATAACTACTTCAAAGAGCAAGATGACTTACTTGATAGGTAAGAGATATGGTAAGAGATTATATTTTTCAATTATTTGTTTCCAACTACGAAAAACTCCAGTGACATACAATCTAAAAGCATGAATATGTCATAAAATCAAGAATACAACAAAAACCAGGAAGATGGGCCCAAATTAAAGTCCGAAACTGGACGTGGGGAACCCACGGACAGTGGCGGTCGGAGCGTTACAAATATGAAAGAAACGAGGAAGCGTGAATATGTCATAAAACCAAGAGTACTACAAAACCAAGAAGATGTGCTCAAAGAACGAAACTGGACGTGGGAACCCACAGACAGTGGCGGTCGTGGCATTACAAATATGAAAGAAACGAGTAAGCATGAATATGTCATAAAATCAAGAGTACGACAAAACAAAGAAGATGGGCCTAAAGACCGAAACTGGACGTGGGGAGCCCACGGACAGTGGCGGTCGGGGCGTTGCTAATATGAAAGAAACGAGTAAGCATGAATATGTCATAAAATCAAGAGTACGACAAAACAAAGAAGATGGGCCTAAAGACCGAGACTGGACGTGGGAACCCATGGACAATGGCAGTCGGGGCGTTGCTAATATATTGTGGTTTAAATATATAGATTTTTTATATTTAATTCTATTATATATATCAAGATATAAACACTAATAATTGTTTGTGATTCAAAAACACTATTAATTGTTGATTACTAATAATATATATCAAAAGTTATAGCGTTTTACCATAATTCTATATTAATGTCGTTATAAAAATTAGACTCTTGACAAAATTAATTCAATAAATATCCCTAACTTGATAACCCTAAATATTAATTATTAATTCTGGTCTTAATCAACATACAACCCCGCGCTGGGCGCGGGACCTCCCCTAGTCTATATTATGTGAAAACATGCCGAACTTCGAACACCAAAGCTTACGGACCAACTAAAGACAGGATGCTTAGGCGCGGTTAGTTTTTGATGTTTTTAAAATTTATTGCTTAAACTAATTTTTAGTTTTCTTAAAGTTTAAACTTATTTTCTTAAAGTTTAAGATCTAAAATATCTAAAAATTTAACACTTAAACGAATTAATAGTAAAATTAGCATAGTTTTGGTTTAAGTGTTTTCTTAAAGTTTAAACTTTTATACTTATTTTAGTTTTCTTAAAGTTTTTTTAAAGTTTAAGTGTTTTATCTAAAATATCTAAAAATTTAACACTTAAACTAATTTTTAAAATTAATAGTAAAATTAACATAGTTTTGGTTTAAGTGTTTAAGTGTTTTCTTAAAGTTTAAACCTTTATACTTATTTTAGTTTTCTTAAAGTTTAAACTTATTTTCTAAAAGTTTAAGTGTTTTATCTAAAATATCTAAAAATTTAACACTTGAACTAATTTTTAAAAATTAATAGTAAAATTAACATAGTTTTGGTTTAAGTGTTTAAGTGTTTTCTTAAAATTTAACACTTAAACTAATTAATAGTAAAATTAACATAGTTTTGGTTTAAGTGTTTAAGTGTTTAAGTTTTTTCTTAAAGTTTAAACTTTTATACTTATTTTAGTTTTCTTAAAGTTTTTTTAAAGTTTAAGTGTTTTATCTAAAATATCTAAAAATTTAACACTTAAACTAATTTTTAAAATTAATAGTAAAATTAACATAGTTTTGGTTTAAATGTTTAAGTGTTTTCTTAAAGTTTAAACCTTTATACTTATTTTAGTTTTCTTAAAGTTTAAACTTATTTTCTTAAAGTTTAAGTGTTTTATCTAAAATATAAAAATTTAACACTTGAACTAATTTTTAAAAATTAATAGTAAAATTAACATAGTTTTGGTTTAAGTGTTTAAGTGTTTTCTTAAAGTTTTAACCTTTATACTTATTTTAGTTTTCTTAAGGTTTTAAGTGTTAAATTTGTTTTAAAATTTAGTAAAAATCATTATAAATATTTAAAAATGAGTTTAAGTGTTAAATTTATATTACGTGAAAACATGCCGAACTTCGAACACCAAAGCTTACGGACCAACTAAGGACAGGATGCCTAGGCGCGGTTTGTTTTCAACGTTTTTAAAATTTAACACTTAAACTAATGTTTTAAAATTAATAGTAAAATTAACATTGTTTTGGTTTAAGTGTTTAAGTGTTTAAGTGTTTTCTTCAAGTTTAAACCTTTATACTTATTTTAGTTTTCTTAAAGTTTAAACTTATTTTCTTAAACTTTAACTGTTTTATCTAAAATATTTGAAAAACCTTTCTAATTAATTTTAAATCAGAAAAATCAGAAAGTCAAAAACTTAAAAAAAAAAAAAAAAGAGAGAAAAAAGGTAAGAAAGTACCTGGAGATATCGTCAGGCGACATGTGGTTGTTCTGAAATTTGACATATCACCAATTCTCTTCAATATCCTCTTTGTTCCTCGTAGTCTCCGGTGAAAGCGGCTCGGTGGCTAGGTCTATTGGTTTATGTAAACCGGGAATCAAATGTTAGATTACCCTTGGTTAAACCAGAACATTCTAGTATAAATAGAATGTATCGTTGCAACAAATCATTAAGAAGAATAACAGAAAGATCTTCATCTTCTTCGTTTCTTCTTCGTTTCTTCTTCAAGCCTTCACTTGCTATTAAGGTCATAATCCGGCGAACTGAAATCGATTTTGATTTAGGGAGAAGACGACAGAGGATTGATGGAGATCATATCATTCAATCAATGAAACGATGTATATATATATATGCAGAGATCATCATATATCGGATTTTACGTCATCAATGTCTACTTGGGATCATCATCAGCGTTGAGAGACTGCGGATATCAATGTCTACTTGAGATCATCATCATCTGTATAAAGACTTCGCTCGAGAAGAAGAAGAAGCGAGAAATAGAGAGTTTTGATTTTTTTCTGTCAAGGAAGAATTAGAAGAAGCGTTAAGAGAATGCGTGAGAGAGAGAGAGAGAGAGAGAGAGTGTTTACAAGCAAAGAGGTTCAAAAGAAAAAGGAAATTCACAGAGTCTCTGTATTAAGACTTTCGCTCGAGAAGAAGAAGAAGAAGAAGAAGCTTTGATTTCTCTCACAGGGAAGAATAAGAATTAGCGTTGAGAGAGAGTATTTATTTATAAGCAAAAGAGGTCCAAAAAGAAAAGGAAACTAATAATCACAATCCTTAACGGTCACATAATGATTTCCTTTCTCTGTAATCACAATTAACGGTCACATAAAGATTTCCTTTGATTCCTTTTTCTATTTCCTTTTATTTGTTTGTGTCTGATGAGTTTTTAATTAAGGTGATGAATTTATATCATCTTTAGGAGGTTAACGTTCGTGGGTACAATTTTGATTTTTTAAAGAGGCTATGAAACCAAATTTAAAGTGTTTACTCTGTTTTTGGTATCTGGGGAGAGGTGTTACTCTCTAATGATGAAGCTGAAGAAGTTCTCTACAGACGTGGTAGGATTTCTTTACTCTTTACCATTCAAGATTATATTCGAATTTGCGATACTTGTTGTCTATTCCTGCATCGAAAAGGCCATAATGGTAATATTTTAACAACATTTTCAGGCATTGATTAATCGACCCACGAAAACGAGTTTCGAGTTATTCATTTATTTGTACTTATAGGTTCCCAGATCATCATGCTAGCCAGTAGGAATCCTCTCAAATTAGAATAAGCTAAGAAGAAAAGGGTTTATTCCAAAGCATATGCTTAAGAATATCCATAGAATATTCTTGTCTGGATTCATGTTCTTGTCTGTACTTGCACAATCCCTAACTTGTTTTTATACATACATCTTTAACTTCCATGAAACATTATAGGGTTTTTTCTCTCTTGCAACCCTTGAATGTGTTTGTTGATTGACATCTATACATATCGATAATCCTATCGTGTTGATAGATCGATTGGTTTAGATGACCATCAACAAACGCTTTCGTGGTTTTGCATCGCTTCTTGAAATCTTGATCATGTTTTTAGCATCTTTGTAACCATATTTGTTCTGTTTTCTGTCCTCAAAGCAGCTCAACAAGTACTTGCATCACCTGGCAAATCGAAAAGCTTCTTAGGGATTTGATTCTTAGTTTTAACTTCTCTGACATGGTTTTGTTCTTTTTTTGCAGTCATAACAGCTTAGCTGATGAAGAAGAATCTTGGTCTTGTATTTGGAGAGGAAACCCAAAACCTCTGAAGCTCACTGGATTATTAAGAATCTGTTAAGCCATAGGTTTCTCGAAGTTTAAAGCAAGTCTACAATTAAAATTTGTTTTTTTTTTTAGTTTATGGGTATTGTGCTAGGTAGAGAAAGATTATGATATGTGTAAAGAAAATAGACAAGTCTTGGTGTGTTAAAATGCTCATAATCTCTAAGGATAGTTACATACACCAAAGTTGTGGTTGTGGAGAAATGGGACCAAAAATCAACGAAACAGGTCTAAGTTGCTCTGGTTTAGCTACTTCTTTGATGTATATAGTTGTTGACTTCCATAATCCATAGCATTTATTTTTGCTCCGGTTCCACTAGAGGGTTGTTTTCATGCATAATTTATAAAAAGATCAGATTCAGACCAAGTTTCAGACTAATTCTATAAACTGTTTCGGCATTAAACCATCAAGATTTATTAGTGTTTAGGATTTCTTCGAGACCATTGGGACTATGACTACTGACTCGGTCGAATTGGCCCCATTATCAGTTATCAGTACCAGTGTTCTAAAAAGCGGTCTAGGCGGTCGCCTAGGCCCCGACTAGGCGCTAGGCTCTTATGCGACGCCTAGATAACCGCCTTGACCGCCTAAAATTACACAGATCTTGTTTAATGTATTTTTTCAATTTTAATTAGAGTTTTATTTATATATATAGTTATAAATATTCATATATTGTTTAATATAAATATAAATAAATGTTTTATCTAATTTTTGTTTATAATTTCATAATTTTTAGTTTTATATAGATATTTTATATAACTTTTATATATAATATCATATTTATAATATTTTATGTTATAAACGTCTAAACCGCCTAAAAAATCGCCTAGGCCCCGATTAGGCGTTCTAGGCGCTAGGCATTGGGTCACCGCCCGCTTAGCGCCTAGCGCTTTCTTGAACACTGGTTATCACCCCTTAGACCGGTCGAGTGTCCCCATTATCACCCCCTTGGACCGGTCGAGTTGTGTATGCATGGCTTCAACTTTGACAAAGAGAGAACATTTGCTAAGAACGTTCTTATACATTAATAGATACTGTACTTAAGAGGATCATAGTTGGTCAAAAATAAACAACAGCAAAGATTCTCGTCCTTTTTTATAAGGAACGTTAGAAGTAGCCATCTTCCAAAGTTTCAGTTGATTAATTACAGATGATTTTGTTTTCCGTGAATTTTCTTAGTTTTAATATTTTTATTAATCGAGTTTGAGGTGTTTATTATTGGGTACAATCAGAAATAAAAATAAGCTTATTTATTTATGCATTAAGAAGGTTTTGTTATTTGTAGTTTAGTAAAACGTTCTTACGCAGTTTCAAACTAACACCGTGTAAGCTTACCAAAAAAAAAACATAGCGCTTACCAAAAAAAAAAACTAACACCGTGTAATACGTTACAGCGCATCGTCGTCGACTGAATTAGGTGAAGACTTTTGGAAAATAATAGTAAACTATTTCGATAATGAACTTCTAAAGTTTTCTTTTTATCTTCTGAGCCTCAAATAATTGTAACTGTCTTACTAATACCCCAAAACTTTACACATCAATATCGAAATATCACCCATAAGTACAAAAATTGCAATTTTTCCCCCCAAACAATTTTTAGAGTTTAGACTTTCGTAATGAAAATCAACATTAACACAAAACAAGATGCAAATGAAATGTATTGAGCTGAGATTTAAGCTTTTTGGATGAATAAATCATTCACCTGAGACACAAGAGAACAATCTATGGCTTCTATTCCTCAAAAGCTGTCCTCGCCGGGACGGAGAAAAACCGGTTTCTCCGCCGTCAGCACCAGATCTTCTTCCTTCACGATAAGACATGGATGAGAAATCTCCGACCGACCATCCACGGCGGTGACGTTGTTGAACACCAACGTTATTCATCTCCATATGAACAAAAGACGATGAGGGTCGAGATACAACGGCGTTTTCGGATTTAGCGGCGAAGGGGAAGAAGTCGTAGTCGTCGTTGGAATCTTTAGTCGTGCCGGCGGAGGAAGAGAGACACTCATAACGCCGACGGGTCCGGTTTTTCCTCATAGCCTTAAACGCCATTGGAATCAAACCATCCATTGATTCTTTTCTTTTTTTGGTTGCTCCTCTTTTTTTTTTGTTTTTCAGGTTATGTTTAAATTTGTGTGTGTTATTGTTGAAGAAAGAAGCAGAAGAATAGTAAAACCAAAAACAAGGGAAGAAGAAGAAAGTGTTTTTGTTATTATGTGTTGTGTGGGGAAGTTGGGAGGTTTATGGTTTTGGTAGTGGTTTGGTGATTACTCAATACACACCTTCCATCAGTTTCATTTGCTTATCTTTCTTTTCCTTTTATATTTTAGACAGGGTTGTTGACTTGTTGACAAAAAAATAAATGCTTTTTATTTTCTGTTCTTTTTTTAATATAACTGATTCATATATATTCTTTTTGTTTGGCTGATATCACTAATGGTTGAATTTACGTCTACGCGTATGTGTTAGTATTTTATTGTATTTAATTGCTTTTAGTGTGGTTCTATTTAAAAGCCATCGAATAAAGAAAGAACAAATTTGTAATAATTTAATACAAATTCTATATTAAAATTTCCTTTTACGTATATAGAATAATGTCAGATTGAGTAAGACCATTTTAGATGACATGTTACGGCCCATACTTTCTCCTTCTCTCGCACTAGCATAGTAGAGATCGAGTGAACCCGCCTAACATATTAGGCATGACTGACTTTTGTGAAGAAGATCGTATCTTGTTTCCATTTTCTGTTTTAAAAATGGCCACCTTGTATAAAGATCAAACATAAGTAAACGAAGATATAACTTACATTACATGCAAACTCTCGTATTTGTCGAGTAAAGAAACACCTTTTTTTTTTTTATAACAAAAGTCTTACTAGCAAATGATAGCTGAGACAACCTAGTCATTCGACCAAGACATCATGTAGTCAAAATTTGATATTTCTGTTCTCTATATGAAAAAACAAACACTTTTCGTCGGACACAAATCAATAGATTTATTTCGATTTTTTTGTTTGTTTTTTATTGCATCACTCAATTACGAAAAAATGACAAAAAAAAAAGAGTTAATATTATAACATGGAAAGTGAAAACCTAAAAACTATTTTTAGTTTTTTTTTGCACTATTTATCTTCTTACAAAATTATTGACATTTATTTTTTGGTGGGATACAAAATTATTGATATTGGAATGAAAAACAAAAAGAAAAACATGGAGGCTATAAATAAAGCGAACACAAGAATCCATCTCCAAGTAAACAGTGTCTTTGCTCTTTCCCCTTCTCCGGGAATATACCCTCATTGCTTAAACCCACAATCATCCTTACTCATATTTCCCACTAAACCCTAATTTGGTTTTGGATTACTTCATCTATCAATTGCAATCTTTCTTTGAAATCGTTCTTCACCTACAATGGCTGATCAACAAACCCTAGATTCTCCTACTCCTCCTCAATCCGTTGATCCCTCTCACTCCCACTCTTCTTCTTCTTCCCCAGCTCCTACCCTCTTAAGAACTTTCTCCTCTAGTCGCCTCAATGCTAATGCTCCTGAGTTCGTTCCTGGTCGAACTACTCCGCCGTTGCCTCAGCCGAGGATGATGATCCCACCTCCGCCTCCTCCTCTGTTTCTTCATATGTACCACCACCCTCCTCCGCCGCTGTTTCATGTTCCTATTACTGGACCTATCCCATTCCTGCCTCACGAGCGGCGGAGGAGAGACCGTAAGAAGAAAGATCAAGCCGAAACTGGAGCTTCTGTTTCTTTTGATCCTAAGAGTGGTTTACCTGAGGATACGGTCCAGAAGATAGTGAACCAGGTAAAAGCTTCAATTTTTAAAACCAAAACAAAAAAAAAGTTTCGATCTTTACTGCTTTCATATCCGTTTTATAACCATTGCTCATTAAGTTTCTAGAAAAATACTCTGCTTTGCTTCAAAGTTTTAGACTTTCAATCATTGTCAGGTCGAATACTATTTCAGCGACTTGAACTTGGCCACAACAGATCTTCTGATGGGATTTATCAGTAACGACCCTCAAGGATATGGTAAGATGTCTGAAACCGTTCAAAGTTGTGTTCTCAAAGTTCTTTTATTTCTTTATCTCACACCATTCACCTAGTGAACACTATTAGTAATCCATTGTGCTTTTGATTAGTCAATGAATGAAGAGATAAATAGTCTTAGCCACTGTGTTTCTACTTCAACAAGGATGATTCAATCTGGAACTTATCTCTGGTCACCATTTAGTTTTCTCAGAAACTTGGCTTTTTGTGTTGCTATTTTCACAGTGCCTATGCATATAGTTGCATCTTTCAACAAAATTAAATCATCCATCAACAGTAACTCCCAGCTTGCCACAGTGCTACAAAACTCCTCAAAGCTTGTGGGTACCCTTATGTTGATCTAATTTCTTTTGTTCACTGTTTCTTCTTGGTTACTCAATCCAAATTTGTCGGATAAATCACATCTTTTATTCGTCAATAACTCCGACTAACCTTTTAACTCACATCTCAGGTTGTTAGTGAAGATGGGAAGAGAGTAAGACGCTTATATCCCATTACCGAGTCTGCTCTAGAAGAGTTACAGGTAGCTCATATCATCCATTCTGTTAGATATTTAGATCTTCCTTCCATCACTATGTGACATCCCCATTATTAAAAGATAATAATCTTTGCAAAGGTCTAGCGAAACTTGTAGCTCAAAGTTTGAGAAACTGAACTTTGTAGATTACGAACTGACTTTGTAATAACCTATCATATCTAGTCCCGAATAGTGGTTGCTGAAAATCTACCTGAGGATCATTGCTACCAAAATCTGTTGAAGATTTTCTCAGCTGTTGGAAGGTACTGATTATTGATGTTAAACCATAGAATGTACTTTTACTCTTTTTTCTGTTCTAGATCAGCTAGGATTTTTGTAGTGTCTCTGAAATTTATTCTCTTATTTGTCAGTGTGAAGCACATTCGGACCAGCCAGCCACAAAACTCTGGCAGTGGTCCTCCATCAGCAGCTAGATCAGCCAAAACTGATTTCAGTAACAAGGTGACTAAGATGCTCACAGTTTTGGTTTAGTTTTTGAGTTTTTTGATTTGAAAAAAGGGGATGCTGTATTTTGTGCTGCTGTTATTTAAAATTGATGTTTATTTACCTTGTTTGTATAAATAGGTCCACGCCTTTGTTGAGTATGAGAGAGTTGAGTTGGCAGAGAAAGCAGTAAGTCTCTTGTGGCCTCGTCCCAGACTAAACAGTGTTACTTCTCCTTGGACAATGTGATAACTTGTAGGCATACATTATTTTGCAGGTCGCTGAATTAAATGAAGAAAGAAATTGGAGTGGTCTTAGGATACGGTTGATGCTGCAGCATGAGGTACATGAACCTTTTTAGGGATTTAAACAGAACTTGCAAGTTCTCGCCAGCCTCACACTAAACTCGAATGTTCCACTCGCTTTTTGTTGTGTTTGGTCATCTAGACAAAGGAACCAAAACATGTTCTTCAAGAACGAGGAAGAAAGGAAGAAGATGACGTGATGAGAACAATTGAGCAAGGACGTGGACAGAATCATTATGGGCGTGGGAATCATCATGTTTCAAACAATCCAATGAACAACAAGACAGATCAAGTGAGCATGGGGAAGCAACAGGGACCAAGAATGCCAGATGGCACAAGGGGATTTTCGTTGGGTCGAGGAAAACCGGTAAGTGTTCATGCCAGAGTGAACCGTAGCTGTCCACAAAAGAAATAGTGTAAAAATGGAGGAAGGGATTCGATTAGTTGTTAGAAGAATATTAATATCTGATCCACAGAGAGAGAGATTGGTCTTCTTCTCCAAAAGGAAAAATTGTTCCTTGGAATTTGGGAGTTAGAAAAGTTTTGCCACACTTGAAAAAAGAGGGAAAATCTTTAAATAGTTACACGACATCGTTTGGATAAAAGAAAGAAATTGTGATATGGTCCCTCATAATTGATATTATATTAGATAAGTCTCCCATAATTAATAATATGAAAAAAAGCCATTGCGGGGGATAAGAATGGGCTTATGTGGGCCTATTTCGATTGATATATATACAAATGACGAATGGAGTCTTTTGGATTTAATAATTTGCCACATTCATAAATGGACCAATAGCTGACTAATCAATGTGCGGTTATTAAGCTGAACCAAAGCTAAACCGAAAATTTTGATTTTCTTGTGTTAATTTGGTCACTGGTAAAGATATATATCCACCATCTCAGCTCACCTTTGTTAGCTTCTTCCGATTTCAACGTTGTCTTTTTTATCTTCTTCTTCATAAAATCATCTACCAGAACGAATTGAATCGTCGGAGACCGTCGTACGTGGTCGTTGTGGAGATGAGTTCGGCTCTACCTTTGAAGCTCTTGTTGCCTCTTACAACAACATCACTACTACCTTCTCCGTTCCGATCAGATAACCCTAATTTCCATCGCCGTCGTTCCTCTTCCTCTACTTCGTGTTCTTCCCAATCTCATTCTCCTTCTCTGCTTTTCTCCGTTAGACGACGCCGATCCAGATCCTCCTCTCCCTCTATTCCCATGGTAATTGCTGATTCTGATTGTATTACTGCTTTTTTTGATTCGAGATTGATTTGTTGGAGACTTCTTAGTCATTGGTATAGGTTAAACAGTTCATTGCATTGATTAAGACTACTACTTTGGTTAACTCTGAACCTACCATGTGGAATTAAGAAATCTGTGACACCTTTTGTTTGTGCTACAGATTCTATCTTACCAATTGAAATTGTTACTAGTTTCTTTTTTGATCATCAATGAATGTTAGTTTAGTTTTCTAAGAACAGCAAATTTAATGAGTACAAGTTATGGTTTGCCCTCAACATCTCAATATCTGTGTTCAGAACTCGTCTTTGTTGCATCTCAGCAATTGCATTTGGTTTTTCACTAATGATTTACTCCCAGGGGCTCTGTTCCTATGTGCTGCTGTATAGTGCTTTCCTGAACAAACGGGAGATCGAGAAGACGTGGATAGTTGGATGAACAAAGAGGAAAATGTGACTTGTAGGTTTGAATCAGATGAAGACACCACCACCGGACTCCGGATTCCAACACAAGCTCAGGCTATCGTTGAAGGACCTGGTTCAGTTGCTGTCTCGGAGCTACAGCCGGTCCCTGATGTAGATTATATACAAGTAAGTTGAACTTCATTTTCATTGCCAATACAATGGAAGATCAAATGTTTTATTAGTCTTTTAGGTTGTAACCATATGTGAATTGGCAGGAGCTGTTGGCTATACAGCAACAAGGACCAAGAACAATTGGCTTCTTTGGAACAAGAAATATGGGTTTCATGCATCAAGAGCTCATTCAGATTCTTAGCTATGCCATGGTTATAACTGTAAGACATTTTGCCTACAATACTACAATTTCTGAATCACATCTTATAACCATCTTCCATGTGATTTATCTTGCAGAAAAACCATATCTACACATCAGGTGCAGCTGGAACCAATGCAGCTGTTATAAGAGGTGCACTTAGAGCAGAGAGACCGGAGCTTCTTACGGTTATCTTACCTCAAAGTTTGAAAAAACAACCTCCTGAGAGCCAGGAACTATTGTCAAAAGTAAGAGACTAGTTTCAAAATTTCCTTTTGCTCCAACTGCATTGTCTTAAATATTTAAATCTGAATATCATCCATTCTTGGCTATGCTGTAGTATACAACTGAGTGTCTTTTGTAATGTCTGCAATAGGTACAAAACGTGATAGAAAAGCCTCACAACGACCATTTACCATTATTAGAAGCCAGCAGGTTTGTCACTCACCACTCTTACTTATCACACACTTTAGCAAAACCGAGAAAAAAATGGCTTTACGAGATATAGTGAAACATTGTAGAATCAATTTTCTGAGACGTACGGTATCTCTCAGTAAGTAAACTTGAGAAAATGGTGATTTGGTTTTTGCAGGCTTTGTAACATAGACATCATATCACAAGTGCAACAAATAATCTGCTTTGCGTTTCATGACAGTAAGCTTCTCATGGAGACATGTCAAGAAGCCAAAAATCTCCGGAAGATTGTTACTCTCTTCTACCTCGATTGATTGATTTCAGTTTCCCACTTCAAACTCTTCTTCGTCTTCTTACTGTTTTGTTCATCTTCCTCTTTGTAAATTAGGAATCGTCATTTACACATACACAACCTATTCTTTGTCTTTCATTCTAAATTTTTTGATTTGCTTTATAGGATCCCTCGATCATTTTTAAGACAGTTTGTGGTTAAATTTCGTTACACTGGCTGATACACCGTCATTAACTCGTGTGCAGTATTAAAAACAAAATCTAAATCATTTGTTGTTAAGACTAATATTGACAAGAAATTTGTACACCAGTTACAATAGGGGAGAGCACCAAAAGGTCTGGTGTGTGACTGTGAGAGACGAATATTTGTGGTGTGTGAGTTGGACGGTGGAGATTAGTCATCTTATGGGCCCCGCCGGTTTGGCTTTTTTTTGGCCGTAAAGAAACGCATTCTAATTGAAGCTAAACCAATAGGGTCTTTTAACAAAATATATACTCCCTCCGTATTTGAATAAATGTCGTTCTAGCATTTTTTCTGTGTTTTTAATTAGTTGTCATTTTAACAACTTTTGCATAAAATTTCCTAAATTACCCCCAATTAATTGATCATAATTAATCAGTCTAAATTACCAAAACTACATATACCAAAAATATAATTGTAAATAATCGTTTCTCATAAGGTTAGTTTTGTAATTCTGTGCCCTTTCTTAATTCACCCAAAAACAGTTGAAACGACATTTTTTCAAATACAGAGGGAGTAGTACTGTATACACTTTAATTTCTAACTACCAAATAACAGTCGTCTGAATTTTGGTCTATACTTTTGCTGACCTTTTAAATAAAATTTCATTTGTTTTTAGACAAAAATTGTTTGTATCCTATCATTTGCTCATTTATTTTCATATCGTAATGTCAATTTTATATTTCAAATTTCTATAAATTTATGACAAAAAATTCCCAAAATATTAGTTTCTTTTTTATCCATCAACAATGTAGGTCTTTCTAGTCTCTACCTATCGTTAAGCCACCGATAATTTTTAGCCAACTAAAATCAACTTAAGATCGAGGTCTCTCATCTAGTCTCTACCCTCTCTACCTAACCTTAGGCCATCGATTAGTTTAGCCAACTAAAATTAACTTAATAGTTATTTTCTGAACGCTAAAGTCTAAAGACGATGGAGATATATTTGTAATCTTGAATCAAAGGAGAAACATGAACTCAACATTACAAGGACATGCTTCTTCTTATGGTTTAATTTCAGCATAGCGTACTTTAATTCGATATTTAAATTACATTTCGTGATCCTAATAACACGGCATGCGGCAATAAATGCGTTGTGTTTAACAAACATCACATTTTTTCTGAATTGTTGCCATGCATGTGAATGTGATTATCACCCCCTCGAAATTTCTTACGATATTATTGGCCAATTGCTTCTCCGTTTTATCCTCCACTTGTCACGTTTCCCACTCATGTTTGGTTCCGTATGACCCGTACATTATTTCTTCTTTAATTGCTCACTTTATTTAATATGCATGGATCCGTAAATTCCTTAACTTGCTTTTAATTATTAGGATCGTGTAACGTTTTTATTGATAATTAGAGCTAAAATCGGTTACTATCAATTGAGTCGTCACATGCATTGATCTTATGTTCTCTACCATCAACATGCACTGCCCCTGGCAATTCCACTTGCTTGTTCAGTTATCAAATATTTGAATACAACATAGATGATTATATGTAGGAACACATTCGAGTTCTAATCTAAAAGTCGTAACTCCTAAGCATTCGGACAAAATCAACTAGTGAAAATTCTCGCGTTGAAGTTTGTTTGATTCAGAAACTTTCTATTTTGGTTTTGCTAAAGTTACATAAAATTACTATATGAAATTATAACATATATATAGATTCATGTAATGGGACGGTAAATCTTTTTTTTTTTTTTTTTGGGTCAAAGGTCACACAGTAAATCAATAAATAAACAATCTGATTTTTTCAGCATAAAGAAATCATGATAAACGATTTAACCAACAGACACAACACAGACTTCTAAAAACTCAAAAGTACCACTTGTTATATTATGAAATTTGACAAAACAAAAACTGGTTTCAATCGATTGACAAACCACTCGAATAAACCATCTAAGAAAATCAATTTCATATCAAATTTTATCATCTAAGGTTTCGTTTATATGATAATATATATAGAAAATAACAAAAGAAATATGTTAATCAACAAAAATAATCCCTTTCATAAATACGCAAATACTATATATACCTTCCACTAAACCGTTTTAAATCCCCCACACCATCACCACTTTCCAACTTCTCCCTCTATCTCTCACTCTCAAAACAATGCCTTCTTCACTTCTCACAGTTCTTCTCTTTCTCCTCTCGATCCCATCGTCCTCAGCTCAAACCTACAATATCCTCTCTTACGGAGCCAAACCCGACGGTAAAACCGACTCCACCAAGGCCTTAACCGCCGTGTGGGCCAAAGCCTGCGCCTCGGTCAAACCGGTAACCATTTTGGTACCTAAGGGACGATTTTTCTTAAGAAGCATTATTTTTGACGGTGCCAAATGTAAACGCAAGTCCGTCACGTTCCGTATCCAAGGTACACTTGTGGCTCCATCGGATTATCGAATCATCGGTAAGGAAAATTATTGGATTTTATTCCAGCATCTCGACGGCCTCTCTGTGTACGGTGGAGTTCTTGACGCTCAGGGAACTTCTCTTTGGTCTTGCAAAAAGTCCGGCAAGAATTGCCCGAGTGGCGCCACGGTAGGAACTTACTCATTTTAACGCCTTAATGTTATCTTTGAATTATGCCTTTATAAATTTAAATTGTGATAACTGATAACCTACAAAATGAACATTAATATTGCTGTTGCCATATAAATTCTGATCATCAAAGTTTTTTGTATAAATTCCTTCAATTTTGTCTTATTGCTTATGTTCCAACCTTTATATTGTTGAAATCATTTAAAAGCATTTTCTTAATATTATATATTTTGAAAAGAATATCCGCCGTTTTCTTGATGAACTTCCGCAAATTCCGCTAGCACGATCCCAAATAATACATTTTCCGTAATTTTTTCTCCACTTTTCCGCTAACATATAAGTTACAAGTTACATTCATGCATATAAATAGTAAAATAGTTCTTTTTTTTGGAGCGATGCATTTGTATGGATTAATATAAATATCATGTGTAGTTGACTTCTTACGTTAACTAACGTAGAATGCTCATTCACATGTACCAATCATAGAGTCATTGATATAGTGATAAACTTTATTATATACTATTATTTTCGGGTACATGAAATTGACACGTGAGCAACAAATTGCAAACAGAGCATAGGGTTTCAGAGCTCAAGCAACGTGGTGATCTCCGGGCTGACGTCATTAAACAGTCAGATGTTTCACGTCGCGATTAACGGCTGCCGTAACGTGAAGCTCGAAGGAGTCAAAGTTTCGGCTGACGGAAACAGTCCAAACACTGACGGAATCCACGTGCAGTCATCATCCACCGTGTCCATCCTCAACTCCAAAATCTCCACCGGCGATGATTGTGTCTCCATCGGTCCCGGCACTAACGGCCTCTGGATCGAGAACGTCGCTTGTGGTCCTGGCCATGGTATCAGGTATTAATCAATTACTTCTATAACTTCATTTTTGTTCCGATTATTTTTAGATTTTATTGTTTTCACCTTTGGTTTATGAATTATAGGGTTGATACGGTTTATGAATTTAGTAATCAACACAACTACAACAATAAAATAATGTTTTGTTCCATCCATTAATTTTCAGTTTCATGGATTTCTTAATAGTTTCTTAGTTGTGCTTTCTTTTTTGGGTATTTTAATTTTATTATACTGTTAATTGGTTTTTGCCATTTCTTCTATTTTCTCCATATCAAACATGTTTATATTTTGGTAATTGGTTCTCTTTTCATATATTACAGCATTGGGAGCTTGGGAAAAGAAAGTGTGGAGGCAGGTGTACAAAACATAACAGTAAAAACGGCGACGTTTACAGGAACAGAGAATGGGGTGAGAATAAAGTCATGGGCCAGGCCCAGTAATGGATTTGCTAAGAATATCCGTTTCCAACATTGTGTTATGAACAACGTACAAAACCCAATCGTTATTGACCAAAACTATTGTCCTGGCAACGAAAATTGCCCTAATCAGGTTCACATTTTTTTTCAAAACATATTAACATCACATACAAAACTATTCTTAATTTGAATATATTGACGAAAATTGGTTTATATATGTTTGTTATGATAGGTTTCTGGGATAAAAATTAGCGATGTAATGTTCTTCGATATACACGGAACATCGGCGACAGAAGTCGGAGTGAAATTAGACTGTAGCTCTAAGAAGCCGTGCACCGGAATTCGAATTCAAGATGTGAAGTTGACGTACCGGAATAAACCAGCAACAACAGATTGTAGTCATGCCGGAGGAAGTGAGGCAGGATTTCAACGGCCCAACAGTTGTCTATGACCAAATGACAAAATATTTGTCTTCATTTCGTTAGTTGTGAAATTGTAAGTAACGTCGTATTTTCCATATGTATTACGGCTTTATTCCTGGAGGGTTGGGATACGTTAAATTATGGTCTATTAGTAGTATTTTTCACAAAATCATTTTCTGATGATGCTATTTGTTATGCATTAGTTAATAACCAAATGATTATGAATGGGAATTCAAAATGAATAGACATGTCTTTTATAAAACGGATTAAATCGATAAATGTACATCATAATGCCTATTGCCTAATATAGTATTATCAGCTATTTAAAGAGTTACGTGTTAACAATGTTGTCTAAGTAAATCCAATAGTCTATGCGTAATTCTGGGAGGGAAAACAAAAATGTTTGTATGCACAAACCAATTTGTCGTCCATTTTATGAATCAAAAAGATAAATACGAGTGCGAGTAATATGATTAAAATCGAGATTAATTAAGTCTGAAGAAAATGGAAATTAATTATTATTTTTTGTTATATTTGTAAATGTCGAAATTAAAAATCTTTATGTTGCTTAAAGAAGTATATTTCCATAATTTTAAGCAGTTAGACCGAGTTTTAAATATACTTGAGAAGATTCAAAAATAAAAGCAAAAGTTAGGGATATTCGGACGGAGACGGTGATAGTAGCAGGAAGAAGAAGGCCTTTGATTTTTCTACATAACCTTCAATTCAATCGAATAAAGTAAATGTTGAAGCTTTAATTTTTGTACCCTCTCTTAGTTTTGTTGTTTATTGCAAGCTTTGGGATGTGGATTCCATGGTTTCCTCGTTTGAGCTACGACTTGGTTATAGATTGATTGATTTTGATGGAAACTGTTGTATTTTGCCATTAATCGGCTTTTTTTCTGGCGTTAACTCAAAGCTCGAATCCTTCTGGCTTCCAGAAGAGGTTCATGGCAAAATCTTGTCCTTGATTCCTACAAAACATGCTGCTTCAACATCTCTTCTTGCTAAAAAGTGGAGGAATGTCTTTAGATTAGTTCATAATCTTGATTTTGATGATTCTGACTTGCTGCAACCTGAAGAGGGTCAACAAGAGGGATATGTCATGCGGGAGAGCTTCAGGAATTTCGTTGATAGAACACTCGCTCTGCAATGCGCTTCTCCTATCAAGAAATTCTCTTTACGATGTGGCATTCACATGGCCAGCGAGTTGGCTTGTGTGGGCCGCTGGATATATATGTAATGCCGTGGAACGTAGTGTTTTGGAGCTGGACATAAGCATACGGACCTTCTATAAATTAGTTCTGAATTCTGAAACCGGTGTTGTGGAACAGCCCGCAGATATGGAATACGGTGAAGTCTTTCTGCCTCCTGAGCTCTGGAAGAGCAAGACGCTGGTTAAGCTGACACTGGGAACAAATATTTCTCTTGGAGACCTTCCTCCAGATGTGTCTCTTCCAGCGCTAAAGAGTCTCTGCATCGATACAATCTTTTTTTGTTATGGAGATCTGTGTGACGTACTTCTTCCTGGTTGTCCGGTGCTAGAGGAGTTAGTTGTACGCCACGAGAACTGTGAAGCATTCCCATTCTGCATAGCGAGTCGGACCATCAAGAAACTATCGGTTCACTACGATTGTGAGTTTGGAATTGGTAACATGAGTTATATGTCATTTGATGCCCCAAGTCTTGTGTCCCTCGACTACTCCGATTATGCCTTGGCTGAGTACCCGCAAGTTAACTTGGAGTCCCTACTCGAAGCTAGGCTGGATCTTCGTTATTCTGAAAGAATCGAGAAGCCGGATATAACGGCTCTGATTATAGGGATAAGCAACATCGAGACCCTGCATCTATCTCCCGGTTCTGCTGATGTAAGTTTTTCCCAAAATTTGTTTATCCTTAAAAAACGTTAAAGAGCTTAGACATTCTTGAAGTATGTTTGTGTGTGTGTGTGTGTGTTTAAGGTGATTTCTCGATGTGTTGAACATGGACTATTTTTACCGGTGTTGAACAATCTGGTTAATTTATCTTTTGGGAGTAACAATAAACGAGGTTGGACACTGCTGCCGTATCTGCTTGAGCAGTCTCCAAAGCTTGAAACTCTAATCATCCAGGTATATTATATATCATTAGCGAAAAAAACATGAACGAATATATCTAGAGAGAGACGGACTTAGTCGTTGATCCTTTACATGCATATTCTTGATGCTTCTCCAGGGTTTGGATGGTTACACAGGCGACGTTACCATGCGTCCGTTCCAAGTAAAGGTGTTGCATGTTCTTGGTTATGGAGGAACTGCTAAAGAGTTGGAACTCTTGAAGAGTATTATTGGGGAATCGAAATGCCTGGAACTAGTGCAAGTGGAGGTTGCACAAGGTGTTGTGGTGGATGATGCCATTGCATGGCAAATCTATAGGGATCTAATGACGCATATTGGAGTTTCAGATTCATCAAAGCGCAAGATCCAAGTTGCATATTTCATGTAGCTTAGACAATTATTCTGTGTAACATTAAACTCATAAATTGCTTCATGTTGCATTGCTCTTGCAGGAGCCTCTTTAATTGCAGGGAGAGGGAGCTACTTAAATATTCTGTAACATTAAACTCGCAAGCCATAAATTTATTTGCATTTATGCTTGCAGATGGTATCTGGAACTGATCAGTCGATGTTTCAAATGGTGTGTGCTTAACAAACAAAGAAGCAAACATTTTTTATTATGTTAATTTTCGAAGGGTTGAAATTGTACGTGAAATTATGGTCTAGTATTTTCACAAAATCAATTTCTGATGATGCTATTTGTTATGCATTAGTCAATGCGGACTAACCATGCATTAGTCAATGCGGACTAACCAATGATTATGAACGTACGTGGGTATTTAAAATGAATGGGAATTGTGTTTTATAAAACGGATCAAATCGATAAATTGTACATCATAATGCCTATAGCCTAAGCCTAATATAGTATTATCAGCCTCTTCTTTTTTTTTTTTTTTGTGTGTGCAAAGTATTATCAGCTATATAAATGAGTTACGTGTAAACAATGTTGTCTAAGTAAATCGAAATGTTACAAATCCAATATATATGCGTAATTCTGGGATGGAAAACAAAAATGTTTGTATGCATAGCATATATGTGATTAAACAAGGTACAATTTGTCATCCATTTTATGAACAGTTGAATCAAAAAGATAAATATGAGTGCGAGTAATTTGATCAAAAATCGAGATTAACTACGACTGAAGAAAATGAAAATTTAATTATTATTTTTTGTTATTGTTTTACATGTCGAAATTAAAAAATATGTATGTTGCTTAAAAAAGTATCTTTCCATAATTTGAAGCAGTTAGAACGATTTTTTTAAATATACTTCAAATAATTAAACATGAGAAGATTCAAAAATAAAAGCAAAAGTTAGGGATATTCTGACGGAGACGGTGAGAGAGGGTATAGTAGCAGGAAAAGGAAGGCCTTTGATTTCTCTACATAACCTTCAATTTAATCGAAAAAGAAAAGGTTGAAGCTTTAATTTTTGTATCCTCTCTTAGTTTTGTTGTTTATTGCAAGCTTTGGGATGTGGATTCCATGGTTTTTTGATTTTTCCTCTTCTTCTTACAAGCGCCTAAAGTGTTAAGCCTCGCTGGAACCCCATCGTATGTGTGGGTTTCAGGTGATTTGTTGGTGTGCTAAAACGTGGGACTACTTCTACCGGTGTTCAAGAATTTGGTAAGCTTGTGTATTGGGAGTAAGAATAAACGAGGTTAGAAAGTACTGTCATATTTGGAAACTACTGTCATATCTGGGATGTGGATTCCATGGTTTTTTCCTCTGCTTCTTACAAGCGCCTAAAGTGTTAAGCCTCGCTGGGACTCCATCGTGTGTGTGGGTTTCATGTGATTTGTTGGTGTGTTAAAACGTGGGACTACTTCTACCGGTGTTCAAGAATTTAGTAAGCTAGTGTATTGGGAGTAAGAATAAACGAGGTTAGAAAGTACTGTCATATTTGGAAACTACTGTCATATCTAATTGGACAGTCGCATATTTCATCTAGCTAATTCTTAGTACTAGATTTTTTACCCGCGCATTACGCGGGATTTTAATTTAAAATCTATTTTATTAATAATTTTTTGAGCATAAATTAAAATCATTCAAATTTTAACATTTTAACATTATTCCATATAAAATGTGAATATACGGAATTTTATAAACATTATTTAGTGTAAAAGTACATCGATAATATCATGTTGCTAGAACAGTTTTATCGAGCTTGTTTTACCCATTGAAGCAAGTGCATCGTGCTATAAAAGAATTCTCGACTAAGTCATTAATGTGTCTATCTTATCTAACTTTTCATGATTACACAACCAAACGGTTAAATCTAACTTTGAATCTAATACTTTGTTTAATAATGTATGTCATGTATTTTCTAAAAACTCATTCTTTCACACAATGAATGAGATCTCAAATTTTTTTTTACCTTAGTCATATGTATTATCTTTCTAAGTTTTAGAAATTTATTTTCAAAAAACTTTTAATTACCAATTTTTTCGTCATCTTCTATGATACACTTGTTGACTCTCGACATCTACTTTCTTTTCACCTTCTATTGATTCAATATATAATACTCCCTCCCTTTCGAAATGTAAGACGTTTTGAGGTATTATTTTTGTTTCAAAATGTAAGACGTTTTCAAGTTTCTATGCAAATTATATATTAATTAAATATTTTCTGATTATTTATATATATTATGCAGTCTCATTCATGATTGGTTGAACTTTTTAAAAGTGGATATTTCTTAATCTGTGTGTTTTTGACTAAAACGTCTTATATTTTGAAACGGAGGGAGTATATATTAGACTGTGAATTGATTTTCAAGACATATCACTAACTATTTTCTTCTTAATTACTATCTTTCAATACTCAAATTTTTGTGTTAAAAGGATTTGATTCAACTGATGAAATATCAATAATATTAATAATATTTTTATAGTTTTCTTATTATTTTAACATCTCGTTTATTTTACATAATTCATTTTTAGTTATGTAAAACTTCTATTAATTATAAGTAACATATATATACACTCAATAAATGTTTTAAATGTATTTAAATGTAAAATAAATATTGTTGCTTAGGTGGATGGTTGGGTGGATATGCTAGATGGAGAAAAAACTCTCTCATTATATATCTAGATTAATCGTGCAATCTAAGAACATTTCCATTGGTTATGAGTATATAAATAATAAAGTAACATATGTTCAATCGAATTTACTTCAATTAATTTAAATTTTTTGAAAAAAAATAAGTGACATGTGTAAGATGAGTTTCTTATTAAGAACCTTAGTTTTTTCTTTTGATTTTTTTTTGAAAAATAAGGATATACATTCTACAACAATAAAGAAAATTGTTCTACAAGGAGCGGAAAATTTTAGATTGATAATGACATTTCTTTCTAAAATTCCCAATAAAATTTATAGACCACTGAATTATCGACAAAAAGAAGATTCACGAAACAAACAAATGTTGTTTAGGGTTACGAAAGCATGATCGTTTAGGGTTTTATACCTTCCGTGAAGGTGGTGAGAGCGATTCGCTTTGGGAACAGTGAGATTTTGGTGAAGGTGGTGAGAGCGATTCTCTTTGGGAACAGTGAGAGGTGTTTTGCTCTCTGGTCTACTTAAATAGTAGTAGTAAAGTGGAATCGAATTAACTAGAATAATACTAGTAAATTAATTCTCTTTGGTCTCTAGTCTGGTCTACAAGATTTGGGTTAAATATTGGGACAATTAATCTTTAGCAAAAAAAAATTATTAGGACAATTTGCAATTAAAATGCGTTATTACACTACTACGTTATTTATTGGTTTGGTATAAAAGAAACATTTTATCAGTTACTCTGTAAATTCATGATCTCGGGGCATAATTTCTTAATTTATCTATTTATAAAAAGATTTTTTTTTTCAGGTATTATAATTTTTTTTTTCAATGTATTTTCTTAATGTATTACAATTTTTTTATTTCAAGGTATTTTTTTTTTCAATGTATTTAAATATTTATATTTAGAAGAAAAAGAAAAAAAAAAACCTCATTTCACAATTAATAAAAAAGACTATATGTATATGAATTCATTTATGATCGACTAGGGATTCTTCACTCTTAGAGCGGGGTTGATGCCTCCTACTCAGTTTATGGGTCTTCTTCCATGCCTCAATTTACCTTATTTGGATGAAGTGTGACCTTCGGATTCATATACATATATATATATATATATATATATATATATATATATATATATTTGCCTATTTTATGACCATATTATAGACGATACTATAATACAATAGTTTTAAAACACAACCTATTTGATATAATAAAAATTAGAACCGAGAAAAGTTCTTGTCATAAAAAAACACCAATACCATACATTATTTAATATAATTTGATTCTTCTTAATGTATCATACATTAGTGTGTGTATATATGTATATTAATATGATTATTAACATAGAAATTCTAAAATATATATTATTAATCAAATTTTGTTAATTTTTAAACTATCACGACGTGTGACTGGAATATTATATTTTATTATTTTATACTGTTTATCAATTTATACATGTTTTATTGTATAAACTAAATAAACTCTATAACATTCCTAAAAGAGATTAATCCGTTCGTTTTACACTTATGTGATTTTAAGATTTCCAATGATGATATAATAAATAAACAAACGCAATTAAATATAAATTAATAAAATCAGATTTCGGTTTTGCTAAAATGCTTTTTTTTTTTTTTTTTTTGAATAACCGCGGGTCTCCCAAAGGCTTCATAGGCTCAAAGACTAATCTCACGAGGCTAGCAATTCCCCCTATGTAAACCTGTCAGTGGCCGTGCCTCGAACCCAGGTGGCGGAAGTCACAGCTGTGACCCCTTTACCACTAGGCCACAAGGCCCGGTTTTTGCTGCTTTTGAGTTAAGAAACTTCTTTTTCATCAATCTTTTAATATGTAATCAATCGAAAGCTGCAAAAGACTTAAAAAATGTACTAGGACGTGGAACACAAATATTTGTATCCGGCCGATTACATGAATTTCATTATATGAAATCATAACATCTTATAAAATTATCATTTGCTCTTAATTAATAAATTGATCTAACAATTATTGCATGCAGATCCAAGGTTTTTTTTATATGGTACCAAATATTACAAGAACATAATGTTAATTTGTTTCCCTAGCTACCTCTTGATGATCTTGTGCTGCTGATTTTCACGAGACAAGAGAGAATTGTCTCATGTGGTGTCAATAACATTCATGAAAATCATTTTCTCATGCACCAAATGGTTTGCAACATGCAAAGTTTTTCACGATTTGTCTAGTTAACATGAAAACATTTTACTTTTCAAAAAAAAAAAAAAAATGCATCAAATGACACCGATCGTCATCGAGAGAAAACTTTTTTCTCATGTCTCATGTGGTGTCAACATGCAAAATCATCTTCTTAACTATCTCCCCTAGTCCTCAGCCGCATAATTATTCACCACCGGGAAGTCACCGGAAGTGGTGTTTCCAGGGAAGGTTTAATTTCCGGCAAGCTTCATTTTTTTTTTTTTGGTTTATCCAGAGTTAAGCTTAATTATTTGAAACCGTTTTCACCTATTTAGCTTGTTATGATCTTCTCTCATCATTTATAATACTCTTTCTTTGTTTTGATATATTTATAAGAGAATTAATACGCCTCAAAACATTATATACAAGTTCCTTTTCTGATACCAAAGAAGATTTGGTAAAACCGTAAGAGTTATTTTTTAAACACGATGTTCATCATCCTTTCTTATTTTTTTCAAAGAGTTTTAAGCTTAGGGAACTTTGTTTCATGGGAAGTTCAAGTCAAGATAAACTCACAACCCTCTGGTCTTGATGGTTTCATTTTAATGGAGCCTATAACACTTAGATCATTATTTTCAAACGGAGTGTGCTACAGTACTGCTCGTGTATGCATGTTCACCAACTATATATAAACCATGGCCAAACTACTACACTACAATCACTTATTCCCAAAACTCCTACAGAACCGGAGTGTGACATAAGTCTTAGCTTGCCTCTTATAGGTCACGTGAAGGATCTTTACCTCTCAAAATGCACTGCCACAACTCTAAAATTCTTAAGCATTTATTTGGAAAAATTTATATAATTCACGAAACCTTTCTTCCATACGCATCAACAATTTAAGAAAAGCAACTTCAAATCAAATTTAATTTCTCCTTCATTATCTAAGGTTTCTTTTTATATATGTGATACCTACGTGGCTACGTTATATTAATCAATGTCAATGTTCCTCTCAGCTACTATACTGGAATCCTCGGTTAGTCACAGAAACTAAAAAAGTGTATAATGTTATGGACCTATTTCTCTTAAAAGCTCCGTTTTTCATAACAGGTATGATAGGTTTAACTGCTTATGCCGGGTTTTACGAGACATATTCACCTAAAAAAGGAGAAACAGTGTTTGTCTCTGCGGCTTCTGGTGCGGTTGGACAGCTCGTGGGTCAGTTTGCTAAGTTGATGGGCTGCTATGTTGTTGGAAGTGCCGGAAGTAAACAAAAGGTTAGGCCATAGTTTTGAAACTCATCAATCAAAAGAGTTAAACCATTTCTATGTTTTCTCTTATATATGATTTGGTTCCCACAAAAGGTTGATCTCCTGCTGAACAAATTTGGTTACGATGAAGCATTCAATTACAAGGAAGAGCCTGACCTTGAAGAGGTTCTTATTTGGCTTCTTATAATTCAGTTTCTTGAATCATCAAAACATCCTCACAATTTTCTCTCTGTAGGTGTTTCCCAAAAGGTATTGACATATACTTTGAGAACGTGGGAGGCAAAATGCTTGATGCGGTTCTACTTAACATGAAACCGTATATATGGCAGAATCGCTGTATGTGGGATGATCTCTCAGTGCCATCTTGAAACCAGAGACAGGTTACAGAATCTACCTGACATCATATTCAAGAAGATAAGGATGCAAGGGTTTGCTGTTTATGACTTCATAGTCATAGATAGATTCCCAAAGTTCTTGGAGTTTGTTATTCCCTACATAAAAGAAGAGAAATTAACATATGTGGAAGACATTGTTGAAGGACTCGAGAACGGTCCTGCTGCTCTTGTAGGACTTCTCCATGGACAAAACGTTGGTAAGCAAGTTCTCAAGGTTGCTTGAGAGTGAAGAAATCTATCATGTATCATGTATCATTTATGGATATGTAACAATCTGTACTAAGAGACTCTTATGGTTCGTTCTTAGCTTATTTTCCAATCAAGTATCAACTACCTTGTATTTCGTATTTTAAAGTATGGGGTTCTCATTGGAATTTATGTGAAATAAAAGGGTATATACTCAAATTCCATATTTTTCGTGTTTAAATGGGCCCAAGTGAAGCCCTTCCTAATAATCCAAAGCCCCAAATGTAACAAAACTCAGCAGATCAGAAGGGGAAAAAGATAAACCCTAATTCCTCAGATTTTTCGAGATTACAATTTGAGAACCACCGATTCGAGTAGCTATGGGGATTCTATCATGGTTCACGGGAAGTCCTAAGCCGTCACAGTCCGAGACGTCTAAGCCGGAGATGATACAGATGCCGAAATCAGAAACTCCAGCTCCGGGGATGAACGGAGCCATAGAAGTTCCTCGGCCCGATCGCGCGACGGTTTTCGAGTTCGGCTCCGTAGCGGCCACCGGAGACAGAGTCACTCTCGCTGGATACTGTCCCGTTTCCGATGATCTCGAACCTTGCCGCTGGGAGATTCTTCCCGCCGACGGCAAAGACGCTCCACAGTTTCGCGTCGTCTTCTGAAGAATCAGTTAATAATCTCTAGAAGATGTAAACTTGTTCAATCTCGTCGTTGATAATTGTATTTGGTCTGGTAATGTCATCTCTTTCATTTGAAATCGAACATGTTCTCATCTTTAATTAGTGCAGTGATGATTAATTTTGCTATATTAGTTAGAAGCTAAATTGGACTGGTTATAACAACAAATGTCAACGTTTGATTTAATATAAACCAATCTCCAGGTTGTATTTTCATATTAAATTAAGCTTCTTTTTAAGTTATCAATGGCGTTGGTTAATTATACAAGTTTCATCTAATTATGTATGGATCCAATAAATAAAGAGATTAGAAAATAGTGATTACCCGCGTTTTACTGCTCAAAACGATATTTGTGAGCCAACGAAACTATTCTTTTGTCAAATCTGTTTATGGATAATCCCTAAACCAAGAACAATTAAAAAAAAAAACTCACCACGATCGTCCCTCTCTTTTCAATTTTCAACCTTTCTTCCATTTTCGTCTTCTTCAAAAGATAGATACAATGTGGTTTTGATCCTTGAGTGATCTTGTTCTTTGCGTTTCATTATCTATCATCAATCATGGAGAACGTTGCTGCGCAGTTGAAGCGTGGGATATCGAGACAATTCTCGACAGGATCGATGCGACGAACATTAAGCAGACAATTCACACGCCAAAATTCTCTTGATCCACGGCGTAACAACATGAGATTCAGCTTCGGCCGTCAATCTTCGCTTGATCCGATCAGGCGTAGCCCTGAATCTCTTAGCTGCGAGCCGCATATGTCTGTCCCCGAGAATCTTGATTCGACAATGCAGCTTCTCTTTATGGCGAGTAAAGGCGATGTTAATGGCGTTGAGGAGCTGCTCAACGAAGGAATCGATGTGAATAGCATTGATCTTGATGGTCGAACTGCTCTTCACATTGCTTCTTGTGAAGGTCATTACGATGTTGTTAAGGTTCTTCTTAGCCGGAGAGCTAACATCGATGCTCGTGACCGTTGGGGTAGTACGGTCTGTTCTTGTTCCCCTGTTTTATGAATATCTGCAAATTTAACAGTGATTGGTTTTGGATGCATCCTTAAGGTGACATTTTTTGACATTGTTCAGGCGGCTGTTGATGCAAAGTATTATGGGAATGTTGAAGTGTATAGTCTCTTGAAAGCTCGAGGAGCTAAAGCTCCGGTATGGTATTTAACATAAAGATGATTGGTCTCTCTCTTTTGCTTTCTCTGGTGTTTTGCTTCCTCTTCAATATTTGTTTGTCGTTGATTTTTAGAAAACTAGAAAGACTCCAATGAAGGTAGGGAATCCGAAAGAAGTTCCTGAGTATGAGCTTAATCCACTTGAGCTGCAAGTCCGAAAAGTTGATGGCATTTCAAAGGTTTGTTGATTCTCCTAATTGACAAGAGCTGGGATTTGTTCTGCTAAATCTCTCTTATTGTGATGTGTTTGTTTTTGTTTAATTTGCAGGGGACTTATCAAGTAGCTAAATGGAATGGCACGCGAGTCTCAGTAAAGATATTCGATAAAGATAGTTATTCCGATCCCGAACGAGTGTATGCATTCTTCTTGTTCTTGAATTTCTCTTTATAATCTTGTTGGTAACATGAAATAATCTAACACACTGTTTTTCTCTTTCTGGTTCTTTTATACGAGCAGAAATGCTTTCACAAACGAATTGACTTTGCTAGCAAAAGCTCGGCATCCAAATATTGTTCAATTTGTTGGAGCCGTCACTCAAAATCTACCGATGATGATTGTAGTAGAGTGTAATCCTAAAGTAAGTTTGCATTGTTTCTCACTTCATTTCAGTACATCAAATCACAAATGTAGCAATCTTGTTTCATTAATCATTTCAATCTCAGGGTGATCTAAGTGTCTATCTTCAAAAGAAAGGTCGCCTTTCTCCTTCAAAAGCTCTGAGATTTGCTCTTGATATTGCTAGAGGCATGAACTACCTCCATGAATGTAAACCAGATCCGATCATCCACTGCGAGTTAAAGCCAAAGTAAGACAAAGCCGAGAACAAATTATTTAATGGCGAAAAAACAGTTTGGATAATATTTTGAAAGTTTTTTGTAAGGTGCCAGAAATATTTTGCTAGATAGAGGAGGGCAATTGAAGATCTCTGGATTTGGTTTGATAAAGTTGTCAAAGATTGGAGAAGACAATGCAAAAATAGTGAACCACGAAGCTCAAATCGATAAGTCAAGTAAGAAAAAGGCTGCATTTTAGTTTGAAACAGATTCATATATACAAAAAGCATTGTTCTTGACAGATCCTATGCTTACCTTCTGTACTGCAGATTACTATATAGCACCCGAAATTTACAAAGATGAAGTCTTCGATAAAAGGGTTGATGTGCATTCGTTTGGTGTCATTTTGTATGAGGTAGTAACACAAAGCTTTAGCCTTTTTTTTCTTTTAGTTAAATGTCTCTGTCTCAAACTCTGCAATGTTTTTTGGTATCATATGTGAAGTTGACCGAGGGAGTATCTTTATTCCATCCTAAACCACCTGAAGAGGTTGCAGAATCGATGTGTATAGAAGGTAAAAGACCAACAATCAGAACAAAATCAAAGAGTTACCCTCCGGAATTGAAAGAGTAAGCATTTCAAGATCTTCTTGATGTTTTAAAACATCATCAGCTATTATTATTACACTTATGATTGTTTTACAGCATTAACAACTCAAAAATCATATGATTATATATGTAGGTTGATTGAGGAATGTTGGCATCCAGAAATCAGTATGAGGCCAATATTCTCTGAGATTATTATTCGGCTCGACAAGATAGTTGCAAACTGTTCCAAGCAGGGTTGGTGGAAAGACACATTTAAGTTCCCTTGGTAAAAAAAGTTCCATCTTCTTTAACCTGAATAACAATCTTTAGTTAAGTCAAAAGGATTTATGTTCATCATGTTTTTTTTTTTGCAGGAAATGAAATGGAAATATTGAATCAATCAATTCTTAAACTCAAACCTCAGGGATGGAGAAAAAACAAGATGAGAGTGAGATTTTGCATACTCAAGAAGGTTCACAAACTCACTCAATTTGTAGAAACAGAAGATCACTTTTTTTTTTGTTTTCATGTTTGTTTATTTAATATCATAAGTTTTTGGGTTATTTGTAAAATTATATTTTATGATAAACATCACTTGTTCATACTGAAATTGGAAGCACAACTTAATTTCTAAATAAGAGTCTTATTATCATAAGACTAGTTAATTTCTCCTATATATAATTAAATAGAGGTGCTAAGGGAAAGATTGAAACAGAAATAGCAGTTGTGGGAAGTATTATATATATGAAGTTGAAAGAAATTATCAAATCCAAAACTAAAACTTCTAATAGAAAAATTTCATTGGTTCAATTGGTAAAAAATAAAACCTTAAGATTTTTATGTAAATTTGTGTGTGAAGTGAACAATATTAGTTTTGGTAAAATAATGCTTGCTCAAAACATTTTTTGTTTTTTGTTTGATGAAGAAGTAAAAGCTTTTCAATTATTTTACTAATTTAATTATGAATACAAACAAAAATAATTATAAAAAATAAATAAAACAATCCTTTTGTCTTTGCCCTTGGGGTTCAAGTATTACATCTGATCGTAGATTAGCCCACGTGGTTACAATCGAAAAGATCTGGGACCTAGATTTGATCCAACGGTTTAGAAATTACTCGTACAGGTGTGAGAATAATATCTTTATTTATTCTGTCCTCAAAAGTGGCAAAAAAAAACAAAGAAAAGAAAAATCTAAAACCCTTTCTCACGATTTATTTGCCGCATCCCTAAAACCTCTCAAATTTCTCCGGCGTGATTTCACTTTCTCCGGTAAATAGCGTTCGTCATCTTCAGATTCCTCCGTCTACTGTAAGTGATACTTTGTCCTTTTCTTCAATATCTTCTTCGAATTCCTCATATTTATCGAAATCAAGGGTTTTGCATTTCAATTTCTTGCGTCGCTTCATTTTTTCAACATTTATTCGAGTATCGTCGTCACTTGAGAGTTTTCTCGTACCGATTTCGATTTATCGTCTGGGTTTTGTTTCGGTTCAGATTCTTAGTAATGGGTTCGCTGATTTTGATAGCGATTTTTTCTCTTCCAAATAGATCAGATTAAGGACTGTTCTCTTCCGGGAGATGTCCAGGTGATTCATCTTTGCACAACAAGGGTTTTAACAAAATGGCGTCAAGAGCGATCGTTAGGAGAAAGAACATCATTTCCGATTACTTGAATGTCTATGCTCGCTCAATTCAGAGCTTTCAGTCCATTGGAAACTCCTCTCAGACGGTTCATTCACATGCTTACCACTCTGGTGTTAACCGTCCTCCTGTGGAAACTAAACGTGTGACCGAACACAAGTCCTTTACAAGAAGAGATGGTCTTCTATTGCTTTCTAGAAACGGGTATTTCAATCGTAGCTTTCATGGTTTTCACTCCTCGGGCATTGGTTATGGAACTTCAGAAGTTGGTCCTTCTCTGGGGATGAGATATGTAAGCCTATCCATTCGTAATGCTACTACAGTTGCAGCTAAGCAACCGGAAGAAGAGGATAAAAAAGTTGATGAGCTTGCTAAGAACAGAAAAGAAGCATCTCCTGAGGAATGTGATCAAGCTGTTGAAAGTCTGAGCAGTGTTAAAGCAAAAGCGAAAGCTAAACGTCTTCAAGAATCCAAAAAGGTTGCTCGATCGATAGTACAGAGGGCATGGGCAATTGTTCTAAAGATAGGACCTGCTTTAAGAGCTGTTGCCTCAATGAGCAGGTTTAGCTCTCTCCTGACATTTTGTGTTCTTAATCGCCTGGCTTTATGCTTGGGTTTTGTAGTGTACTGAATTTCTGTTTTCTACAGGGCGGATTGGGCAAAAAAGCTCACTCACTGGAAACAGGAGTTTGTATCTACATTGAAACATTATTGGCTGGGGACCAAATTACTCTGGGCAGACACTAGAATCAGTTCCAGATTGCTGCTCAAGTTGGCTGGTGGAAAGAGTCTCTCCAGAAGAGAAAGGCAACAGCTAACTCGAACAACAGCTGATATCTTTAGATTAGTGCCATTTGCAGTGTTCATCCTTGTGCCGTTTATGGAGTTTTTGCTGCCAGTTTTCTTGAAGCTCT